CACAGTGAGCAAGAAGTCATTTCTTATAAATATGGTAATAAGTGGATCATGATGACAACAGAAGCACATTCTTACACAATTTGTGGAAAAAGTCAGTGTTTCCCAGTTCCGGTTCACAACAGCCTTCCCCCATCACCAGTCAGTAGATTAGGAAGGGATATCTGGTGGCGTTAAAATGTCAGCTCCCCGATGCTGTTTGGCATCAGTCAGGACCCTCTTCGAACTAGCCTCATCTTGTGCCTGCTGTGGGGATGGCGAATGGCTCCGGCACACGTCTGCATCATATACAGTTCCTCATCTCCACGTTTCAGTGCTCACTGAAAAGTAGTGAAGCTCACGCATCCTTTAACTTCCGTGAGCTGCTTCGGGGATGCCAAAACTTTTCTTTTGACAACCCTGCCTGTTCGGTAAAGAAGAGGGTGGATGGACCACCATAGATGGACCTGATGCATTTTTTTGGCTGGTGTAAATAATACCCTCCAGGTTTAAAAAACTGAAGTAAATGTCTAATGCTGAAATATAGTGCGTAGACACACATGGAATGATGGTAAAGAGCTTGACGTTCTCCATGATTTTTACTTCAGTGGGAATTTTCTCAGTAAGAATGACTGAAGGGCTAAGGGCTTGGCTTGCTGTCCCTGCGCATTAGAAATCCAGCTGCGGGCTGAAGCCTGCAGAGTTGCTTCAGAAAATACTGCAGGAGTGCAATGCTTTTGCAGAGCAGCTCGTGCCCCTCTGCAGGCATTCGGCATGTGAGCAGATGCCCTTGGGCTGCGCTGCCTGCTCCTGCTTGGATGATCCCACGAGCGTGTGTGTGTGTACATGTGCAGCACACGTACGTCTTCCTAACCATGTCTGTCAGTGTCACTTTTGTGTGGGTGGGCAGCAGTGACTGTGCATATGTTTGCTGGGTGTAGGTGTGCCGAGGGCTATCTGTACACACGCTTTCCGGTACGTTGGTGCTGTGAATCAAGAGCATTTTCTTCCCTGTCACCTGCCACCATCCCTGCTGTAGTAACTCTGCCCATGGGGACAACAACGCCAAGCCAAACCGGATGGTGAGGATGTGGGTTGGCTCCTTGCCTTGGATGTTCTTGCCACAGGGAGCCACAGCACTTTCACCTTCCTTTAGGCTCCTTTTCCTTTTAGGTTTCTTCTGAATTTTCCCCACTTTGAATTTCTGGAGTCTGCCCTCTCAGCACCTGCACTATGATGCTCCGCTCTGTCATTCCTTGAGAGGTGCATTACCCGAAATAACAGAAGTGAGGTGAGCAGCAAGGCAGGGAGAGGAATGCATGTGACTCTATTAGCATTCGTTTATGCCAAGGCTATGCGAAACCCAGATGACAGTCTGTGTTGTTTTGACTTTTTTAATTTAAATTAATCATTATAATTAAATTCTGTTCTTTAACAAAAACCTTCTATAGAGATTGTCCAGCTGAAAAAAAAAAAAAGGTGTTTCAGAAATAGTATTTTAATAGGCTCTTTAAAGACGTTCAGGAGCATCACGTAAAACACAGTGGGCACTGGGGGAAATAATTCTGCTCGGAGGTCAGATGTATGCTGAGTTCTGTCGACTTCCTCATTTTTCAAGGCTGGAGGCTTCTGCATGTGAATGAGCCCTTTGTTTTTCTGAGGATTCTGGTACAGAAATATATCTGCTGCAACGACTGCTTATTTCCTGTCCTGGAAACAAAGGCCCTGATGCTGAAGACAGACCGCTGTGCTCTCGTGGACAGCTTGGTGTCGTACAAAGCAGAGCAAAGAGGAATGCGGCAGACGGGCCGCTGAGTGATGAAATTCTCGCGCACGCCAAACTTTTTGGAGTAGAAATGGGTGAGAACAAAGGCTCTCACCAAGTACAGCAAGGTCGACTCCAGGCAGAGCGCAATGGGAAAAGTAGTTCGACTGGATTCATTTTCATATTGTAACGTCTGGCAAAGATCTTAACTGTGAGCCAGTTACAGTCTTTTAAAATTCCTTTATAGCCTTTCTTACCTTAAATTGGAAGGGCTTTTCTTTTAGACGTGTATTTGTCATTACCCAGTTCCTTACACCTTAGTTGCATGGATTAATTCCAGCAGACTTTGTTAGGTGCTGTTAACCACGGGATGCTTGCTGTCCCATGCACATCTTATGGACCCTTTAAGACGAAATAAGAGTATGTTGCAGTTGCCCTGATCCAGACAGCACTGTGCAATATACACGTATGCTGTTCCGAATGCTTTTCTTTGTCTCCTGAAATCAGGAACAAGCTCCTTTGATTGTTCTTTCAGAATCTAAATAATTCAGTTGATAACAACCCCGAAGGACCCAGACCTGTGCCTGGTTTTTGACACTGCCTGGAAATTGATCTGTCCTTCCATTGTGACTGTCCCTGTGACATCTAAGTTTCACCAATTTCCCGTGACTACATTTGGTCTTAGCTAAAAGTTTGCAAACTTCCATTGCTTTGATGTTGATTTAAATCATTTTCAGAGCAGCTAATTTATAAAATCTTTGTGCTAACAAAGTCTAAATAAAATGCTGTTATCTACAGGGAAAAAGGAAATGAATGCATTCTTAAAGTAATGGTCTTATTACTATTTATCTTGTTACACTGTGGCAAGGTTCCCTTTATTAAGCCACCTGCACTTTGAAAGGTTTATAGACAAAAGCAGCATTATTAGTTAATGCAGCTGTGCAAGCTTTCTGTTAGCTATTAGAATATTTTACTATTGTGGCTACTATTATTATTACTGGTGAGGTTGCTTGGGAGTTTTGAGAGTATGCTAAAAGTCTTCCTGTTGCGTTGGTTATACCTCGGTGCCTTTCTTCAGATTATAAATGCAGCTGTTTCTGTTAAATTTTAGATGGAAAGCAAAAGCCCATAAAAACCTATCAGCAGGTTATTTTAGCCTCAGATCAGCATTGCTTAAGTTATACAAGGAGCGAGATGGAAGTCTGACGAAGGTGCTGTCCATCAATAGCTGATGTAAACTTGTGCATGAATCTGTCTCTGGTCACTCAGGCAGTGAGGCAGATATTAAGAGCATCCTTCAGGCCACCTGTAACTCACTCCTGAATGCCAGAAAAATTGCTGTAGCGAATCTGGACTTTCGGACAAAGAGAGTCATTGCCCTGGTCAAGGATGGCTCAGAGAAAAAGGACTCCATTCTAGAGGAATGTTTTATTGCTTGCCATAAGGAAGATGCAAGTCTTCTGGACTCTGTTTTTGCAGTATAAGTGTATGTACTGTCCTTCTAAGGTGTCACAAGGTTGCAGTCATCAGCGCAACTCTGCTCTGATGCAAGGCGTTAGATCACAATCGTGCAGACCCTACACCTAACCTGGCATTTATGGGGAGGTTAAAGAAAGCATTTTATCCTCCCAGGAATCTGTATGACTGTGTCCAGGAAGAGGTTAAGGATCTCAAACTCTTATTTGCAGATTTGAAATGGTTGCCCGGGCATAGAGCAAGGGCCATTCTCATTTGCCCAGAGTCTGTACCCACAACCACGTGTGGGTTATGGCAGGTTCTCCAGTGGTTGTTGCATTTGGCTGTGGAGACAGCACGACCACATACGACACTACCCTACCTAAGGGCTCTGTCACAGTTGGCAGGAAGGGTTGTATGGGGAACCGTAACTGTAGTAAATCTCTCTCAGAGAAAGTAGGGTACGTTGCGCTACCTCTCTTTTCAAGAGTGTTTGCTCATAAAAAGCTTGTGGGTGTTAAGAGCAGTGTTGTCCTTTCACTGTAAAGTACCGTCCCACCTGGTCCCTGTGGCCAAATGAAGATGTCTCTGTGCTACTGCAGATTTCATAGACCTCGGTCGCATCCCCTTTCAATTATCCTTTTCTGCAGAGAGTCCTGTTCTGTCTAAATTGTCTAAAGCAGGAGCAATCTCAGGTCTCTGAACATCCTAATCGTCACTCTTCAATGCGCTTCCACTTTAATCACGTGCTTTTTGAGATGGGGAGAGGGGACCAGAGCAAGGCACTGCACACCGATGCTGGCCACGGAGCATCTGAGTCCTGCTTCTGACCCTGTCATGGACAGCCTGTTTTCTTTCTGTTTCCTCTCTGCCTTTTACTCTGTGTCTAGTCAGGCTGCAGACGGTCAGGGCCAAATGTCTTTGCTCAGTTACAGAGAGATGGGTTCTGGCACCAGAGGCCCCAAGTTTGCTTTGGTTTTCATGTGTTTCAGAGGCAAATGGATGAATTTTTTTCCTTTCTGAGATGGCCTTGGCTTTGTGTTCACCAAATAAGCGCTTCTGCCCAAAACATCTCTAAATCCTATGTTGTGCCCAAGGGCTGTATGTTTATTTTAGTTAATTTTATTGGGCTTTTTCTTTTGTTTTTGAGTAAAGCTGCTTATGGTCAAATAAGCTACAACCACACCAAAACTGTTGCAAAACAGCTCCTATAATGATTGAGGCTAAAATATGCCCTTAGCTTTGGAAGCCTGACCCGTCTGATGGTGCTTGCTAGCACACGTTCCTCCACAGCAACCACAGGGGGAAAATGCCTCGAAGATTAATGGTGGGCAGGTGTGAGAAGTGAGAAAGATGTGGGGGGGAGATTCCTTTTTCCTCCTCAGGGTCTCTTTTGTCTGGTCCTCTGAAATCCTTCCTTCCAGGGTACATATGCAGAATACATCCCTTTTTATTGTCCTAACAATCCAGGCTGTAGAGACTGATCTGTTCAACTCCCGGACCCGGGGGTGAGAGCCCAGTTTGGGAAGCGATGGCTCAGATGCAGAGGAGTTGAAGACTTTGCTCTAGAGGAGTTTGCCACCTACTGATTTGCAAATTTTTTTCTGGCTCATGCCAAGAGAAGTTGAAGGGCGAGGGGGCAGCCGGGAGTTTCGGGGTAGGTGCCGATTTGCCCTACGAGAACGCAGCCAGGGC